TATTGATGATGCATTAGCCCACTGAGGTATCATACAAGCCTAAAGTGTTTCTTAAAATACTTCAACAATCTTCACTTACATTGACATCCTTTCATGCATGCAATTTGAAACTTTATGCACTATGAGTTTCTAAACAACCCAAATCTTTACTAGACTTGTTACACTGGGACCAGTTTCTAGAATCAGACACATTCCAATCTCTTAATTGGTTTAACTATTGTATTATTACATGCCTTATGTTGTTTACTCTATCATCTCTTAAAACTATACATCCCAACAATTCACTAGCAAAATCACTATTCTGCTGGTCTCTAGCACCCATTAAACAATTATTTCCACTATAGACATTACTCCTTTGTTTTTTCCTACCTTTTGTACCCTTATCCCTTTCTCCACTCCCCATCTCGTTCTTTTAGTTCTCAATATAACAATTTACCTGCATGATAATTGCACAGTTCGACACTTTCAGAAATAAAGCCTCATCTCCCACTCTTATGAGTTTTGTCAACATATACATTTGTTTAAAACTAATAAACAGTGAATAAAACAAACACTAAATACCTTATATACTCGAGTATAAGCCGAGTTTTTCAGCACATTTTTTGTGCTGAAAAACCCCAACTCGGCTTATACTCGAGTCAGTGTCTGTATTATGGCAATTTACATTAATTTACATTGCCATGATACAGACTGGGGGCTGGCAGAGCTGTAACTTACCTCTCCTGCAGCTCCTGTCAGCTCTCTCCTCCTCCGCGCCGGTCCGGTCAGCACCTCGGTCAGCTCCCAGTGTAAGTCTCGCGAGAGCCGCGGGGTCATAGTGCGGCTCTCGCAAGACTTACAGTGTGAGCTGAGAGAAGAGCTGCATGGACCGGCGCGGAGGAGGAGAGAGCTGATAGGAGCTGCAGGAGAGGTAAGTAACAGCTCTGCCAGACCCCCTCCTCCCCCCACTGAACTGCCAATGCCACTGGACCACCAGGGAAGGAGAGCCCCCCTCCCTGCCATGTATCAAGCAGGGAGGGGGGATGAAAAATTAATAAATTAATAAAATAACATTAAAAATAATAATAAAATAAAAAATAACAACAAAATATTAATAAAACAAAAAAATTATTAAAATTATTTAATAAAAATAATAATAAAAATGCCCACTCCCCACCAAGGCTCTGCAACACACACACACACACACACACACACACACACATACTGCACACACACACTGCACTCACACACTGCATTCATTCACACACACACTGCACTCATACACACACTGCACTCATACACTGCATTCATACACACACACACTGCATTCATGCACACACACACATACTGCACACACACACTGCACTCACACACACACTGCACTCCCACACACTGCATTCATTCACACACACACTGCACTCATACACTGCATTCATACACACACACACTGCACTCATACACTGCATTCATACACACACACACTGCACTCATACACTGCATTCATACACACACACACTACACTCATACACACACACTGCACTCACACACACACACTGCACTCACACACACACACACACACTGCACTCATTATATACACACACACCGTAAATAAATATTCAATTGATATAATTTTTTTAGGATCTAATTTTATTTAGAAATTTACCAGTAGCTGCATTTCCCACCCTAGTCTTATACTCGAGTCAATAAGTTTTCCCAGTTTTTTGGGGTAAAATTAGGGGCCTCGGCTTATATTCGGGTCGGCTTATACTCGAGTATATACGGTATAAAAAGTAGATTTTACACAAGATATTTTACTATAACTTAAAAAATAAAATTTTCGACATTTCAATTTGCAAGAATGTATATTCCTTTTACTCCCACAATCTTAACTATATGAGCAATGGATTGTTAGGGTTAATGATCTAAACGAATATCCAAGCATAAAAAATCTAAATAAATATTTATCAATTATTTTTTGAGAATGATTTTTAAATGTTTTAAACCCATATTTTTGGTGATATTTGATTTTATGCACACAATGAAAAAAAAAAAAAGTCCTGAATATGTAAATATGTAAAATGCCAACATTTTATAGATTCAAAATGCTTGACAAATTAGGATGTTTTAACCACAAAAAAACATTAAAATGTTGCTGTCAGCAATGTTGACTGACAATCTTTCTTTGTAGAGCACAGAGCAAACAAGAGCAATGTCTGCTTTGATTAAATCTACTGTATGCTTCTTGACCAGTGAACAGGATCATCTGCAGACAAGCAGTACCTAGCTTTCAGTCATAAACAAACACAAACCAGCAATGAAAGCTTGCACACTGCTGACATCCAGAACGGTCAACCCCATTTACTGTTCACAGTACATGTAAAACAACTGCAGCTATCTTGTTGCACCTAAGATAGCAGTAAGCAAAATCAGGTTTCAATGAAAAAGATATCTCGGAGAGTAAAATGGATCAAGGCCTATGGCAATTCTTGACACCATTCTTTTTGATGTACACGGTTATATTCTTGACGAAATAAAAGCAGTATATGAAGAATAAGACTAATCTTTGCCTATTAAGCAGGTGATCTGTATGTCGGCTTGTGATTACATTGCTTGTAAAATGATGCGTACACTGGGAAATCATTGGTATTACTGAGATCCTATTATATATCAAAGTGTATTTGATGGTGTCACATAAAAAAGAACTGATTTTTATTAACTTGTGAAAATCTACCACATGAAGTGCGAGAAAATAAAAATAGATCCCATCCACTGATTATTTCAAGAGCACATTCTAGCTGTGTCTATCAAACACAGAAATGCATTTACTAATAGAGGTCATTATACATGACCTTTAAAGGTTAGAACTGGTCATCACGCATACACTGATGGCTTACAGTACACTAAATTCCCAAGAACAAATTTTATAACAGAAAAGTTTTAAAATATTAATAACAATTAAAAAAAAACAGATGTTCGTCTATGCTGATTATCTGTTTCTTAACACTTCCAATACCATGGTAGTAGCTCTTACGCAGAGGTAGCCTATGAATAGCGGTTATCACCATTTTATTTTTATAATAACTGGGCTGCAGATTGACTTCAAGTAAAAATATTTTAAACCCTAAGAAATATTTTTAGCATGAAACCTGCATACCAAGCACTAGAAAAAACTGAAGTGGATACGTATTATTCGAAAATCTAAACAATCATGGTACATTTTTTTTTATTATTAATAGTCGTTTTAAAAAAAATAATATTATCACATTTTTGTGTTTCTCATCTGTGGAGAGGATAGTGTGGGTAGTTCATAGTAGCATGATAAATGGGCTTAGTATGTGTTTCACCCTTTGCTAATAAATACATACATACTTAAATAATAGTATAAACATGTGACACATGTCAAGAACAAGTTTGAGAGCAGTGACCAACAATCACTGAGAAAGATATTTGTGTATACATGCAGTATAATCTTTAGCCATTTTTAATTCAGAAAGAAAGCAAAATTAAAAGATAAATTGTAAGCATTAGTAAATAAAACTACTTAATAATTCTTTACATCTTCCGTGTGCAGGTCATCGAATGCATTACACAAGGACGTGTCTTGGAGAGACCAAGAGTGGCTCCCAAAGAAGTTTATGACATTATGCTGGGATGTTGGCAAAGAGAACCACAGCTGAGACTAAACATTAAGGAGATCTACAAGATTCTTCAAGCCTTGGGAAAGGCTACACCAATTTATTTGGACATTCTAGGCTAGCAAATGGCATCTACAAATATCCAACCCTATCTAGCCTCCTATTCTTGTCCCTGCTTTTCCTGGAAAATGTCTTCATATGAAAAAATTTAAAAAAAAAAAGACAAACTCAAGTGCCTGCAACATATAACAACACAGAAGGAAACCTGTAAAGGCAGATTATATATATATATATATATATATATATACCTTCCACCAATACAACTAATGAGGAAGAAGCTGCCATTATAGATTTGAAAAATGAAAACGTTTTGGGAACTTTAAGCGTACCACTGGAAATGTGGACAATGTTTGCTACTGTATAGGCAGTGTGCAGACACCACGACTCAACTAAATGCATAAAGACAATCTATTCCCAAACTCCATGATGGCATCAAGCCTTAAGAGGATGCTGAAATTGATGGAGCATTAAATGTTGTTGCATACACAATGGTGGATTACTGCAACTAAATGCATTGTCTCACAGAGACTGGTAGCGTGATGACCCATATGTGTACGCAGAGCAGAAACAGCATACTGCATCAAAATCTGGGGTGACAAAAGGAAGAGCAAATCAGCCATTTTTTTGTGGAAGCTGTACCTTTACCTACTACAGTTCTTCTGAAATTATGAACAATTTTATAATTTGTAACCTCCTAAGTGTATAGAATTTCTGATTTCTGGAAAACGTTATTGGTACCTACGGGTAAAACAGTATCTTTGTTTAAATCAATTCAAAACTTTTTTTTTTTTTTTTACACTTTTGGAAACATATTGGGATATTCAATCAGTGTAAGGGACCACAGCTGATGTTGTGATTTTTTTTAAAGTAATATAAATAAGCACCTAGTACCTTTAACCAGTATTACAAGTAAGCAAGCAAGCCGTAACACAGATACACAAATGTTACCATAAAGGCAAATATCTAGTAGATAATGGTTGGATTTTTGTTAGAGTCCTTTCTATTTTCAGTGTTTAAAATTGGAATGTCTTGGTTCAATGTAGTGTGTCTCAGGTCTGAATTATTTGGGGGTTTCACATTTCAGTGGATTCCCCAGTCATATTAAATTAGTAATTTTCAGAGTATCCTGACAGTAAGAAGGACAGATTTATTTTCGTAATATGAAACAGTCTATAGAAATGAAATTAAATGTCTTTATTATTTATGTAAGCATAGAGGAGAAAATTTTAATGAGGGATATAATCATTCCATTAAAACAAAATCAATTGGTAGCTTTTTTTTTTTTTTATCCATAGAAGAAATCACTGTATAAATCAACCATTGGATCATGCTAAGGTAGCACTACATTCACATTGCTGAATAATCTATGTCACACCGGGTTTCCACCAACATTGTAATTTTATTGTAAGTTTTGTTGTTATTTTTTGTATTTGTATTATTTTGTAAATCATATTTAAAACTTTGACTTAATCAAAGATAAGAGTGAAAAATCAAAGTGACTTTGAAATGGCTGATAATGCAACAAAACAATTTCAAACCATCTCCCATCCTCGTGTCGCAGAAAATGGAACGATGCACCTGCCTTTTAAGCTGTGTTGAATATTTAATCAAGAAGACGGGCTGCATGTACGATAGTGAGCGCATCGAGTAATGTTGTTATATGGACACTGCTGGAATTTCTTTGGGCAAAATAACAAAGTAAAATAAAGAATGGAAATTCACCTTTCAAGAAAATGACAAAAACAAAACAAACACCTTATAATGTGGAGAACAAATGTTCCAGCTTTCCTTTTACATTTTTGTTTAAAGAAGAATTGAATTCTAGGTACAATTAGTACAGTAAGTATTGGAATCTACAAATGTCAAAACTGGGGTGCAACCAATATTGCAGAGGCATTTATTGGTTAAAATGCTTTTCCTTTGTCTATCTGTACTGCTTTTTTCCCCACGCACCTGTAGGTTTTCTTATTACTTTCATTGCTGCTCAATGTCACCATTAGTTTCAAAACAAATGATGCTGAGGGTGAACACAAAAAAAAACGCGAAAATCAAGGAATTTCTTGTTTTATTTCATTCATTACATCATTCGCATGAGACAACCTTTGTGCAAGATATTTGGCATGCTAGATGTGAAGCGTAGTCAAGAAAATGGAAAAAAAATCATGACACAAAAGGTTATGGTGATAAAAAAATTGGAACCGACACCTTCAACATATGTATTGTGTATAGGCTGTGATAAGCTCATGATTCTGTTGGACAACAATAGCAAAGCTATTAAGAAGAGGTCAGAAAAGGTCGCTGTTATCCTTTCTTTGCAAAATTGAGCACTGATAGAGAGAAATGGATGGTAATACCATAAAAGCTTATAGTAAATGAGGAAAGAGAGAGACAACTGACCCCGAGTGACGATCCCAAAAAGGAGCAGCTCTTCTCCTCTGTAACTCTTTTAGCTCACTTTATAATTAATTTCCATTCAGGCACATAACATATAAGTATTATATAAATTTAGCATGGACTCTAGTACAGAAACAGACAAAATCTAGCTTAGGCTTTTCTAATACGACAGACCTGTTCACAGTAGGATATAATGTTGCGGTAATAATGTTACGATAAGTTCATTGCACTGCAGCTGGTGAAGCAAAGTGTCTGCTCCCTGTTCATTAATATTTAATTTAAAATTATTCATTGCTGACTGTCTTCTAAGCAATTTTTTGTTACTAAGTATTTTTTCTGTTAATTAATTCTGGCTTAGTGGTGGTACTCAACATGGGGACACTTTGATACCAGTGTATGGCACCCATATACATAATTGTCTTAGTAAACAATACAGAATACTATAAAGACCATGGGTTATATTTTGTAGACATGATATATTTGTGCATTAATACATTTTACGTAAGTTTTTTTATTTTTATTTTTTGCATTTGCTAATTATGTTTTATGCAGTTGGCTATTGTTGTTTAAACTTGACATAATAATGTATACTGTCACACAATATAGTTTTGCATGTGGTATCTCTTGTTATGTCATAGGTATGAAAATACTGCAAGCCATAATACATATTATGATAGCTTTAAGTGCTAAACACTCTGATAAATATTACTAACTAACCAGGGTGAGTGCAGTTAGCTGTTATGGAGCATGGTGTCTGCCTTTGTTTGAAAACTAAGCTCATTACATCATTTTGTAAGTACAAGTGTGAAATGTATCTTCGATGGGGCATCTTCAGAATCAAATATGTGTGAGAGCACAGATGAAGCTCAACTCAGAAAAATTTAATCTGTCCTGCATTGAATGACAAAAATGTAATACAATTTGCTAGCTCAGCTCCAGAAAATCAAGACTTCACTTTTGTTTAGCTCACAGCTGTTCAGAAGTGACAAATCTTCTTACTAAAACAGTGATAGTATTAATGTTAGCTGAATCCCAAAGACCACAAACAGTTTGGGACTTGAAATAGTAAAGACATTGGCACCAATTCATCCCCTACACAAAAGCAGAAGAAAAAAAAAGCCATTTCCTGCTGGCTGGGTGGAATTGACTGTAGTATTAAGACCTCAGCAGAGCTTTTTCTCAAAGTAATTTCTGCACTGTCAGGCGACACTGACATCCCAGTTAACCTTTATTCAGGATGGGAGGGAGGTTTACAGGGTGTCTGATTGTAATGCATATTATAGTGTACCTCTCCAGAAATAGTAAATCTCAGCAAAAAAACATCATATTTCTTCCCGTCTCTGTTTGTCGTTTTACCTTCGTCTTCAATATATGAATGCAGAGGGAGAAAGGGTAGCTGGTGAGCGGGATAGGCAATTGCTCTGTATGACCCCGGCAGTCTGTCTGTGACCATTTTGAAAACTCTCACAGCTGCAAATCTAGGCAATATGCCAGTTTGACAGTAGCTACAGCCTACAACTTCTCCAGAAGTGATGCAAATCCAAGGGAACAAACTAAATTTAAATTTAATTCTGGAAAACCAGAAAGCTTTTCTATGTTTATTGGCTGATTTAAAAAAAAAAATGTGTAGCGGTAAACAGTGTCTTTTGTACTGGCCACTGTCATTATTAATTGTAATTTCAAAAGCACAAAGCCCAGGAGGATTCCAGAAGTTCTTTATAGATGGAGGGAAAAAAAAAGATATTATCAAAATTTGTTTTAGACACAAATGATGAAACTAATAATTACCCCCCTGAGAATGCCAGATAAAAATAAACTCTCCATTGCACAGTGCAGCTCAATATAGTCTTGTCTAAGAGTAGGACTTGAAGTGGTAATTGCACAACATGTTTATAGTCAATATTTTATTAATTTGTGAATAGTTTTAAATGTATAATGTCAATGTTTCAATCAAACAATATGATCAACACGTGCATTCTGACTGTCAAATGGTTTAATAAAGAATTAAAGAATAGGAATTGAATACTGAGCGCACATCAGTTTCCCAGCAACAGAATAGTAAATGGCAAACATGTAAGTAGTGTTTAGATCATAGAGATAGCAAATAGTTTCAGTTTGACATATACTTATTTAATTATGTACAGTCAACCCATAGATATCTCTGGAGTTGGGGCTTTGGGGGACTTACGTTCCACATGTGGATACTTTAACCTCCAGATCTCTATAAGTAGTGGAAAGGCAAGAGTATATTACTGTTTACTTCATTTTTTATTTCATTCAATGGAGCCACCAGATATACTGTAAAATGAAAGATCACTAACATAGTGCTCTGCGGGGTAACTATTGGGAGAGGGTGCTTGGTAAGAGAATTTTGCTGCACACCATGTGTGCTGAGATTGCATCAAATACCTGGTTGTGTGCAGCATGTGCTTGTTTCCAACTGTACTTTTTTTTGATTTGTTATAGTTTTTTGAGGTTTGCTTTGGGCTCAATACCCAGGTGTTTTGGAGCCTAGTAACACCTTTGCAGTTAAAGCATCATTTAGTAAATTAAATATTGTTCTGTCTTGCAGAGTAATAAAATGCAATGTAATGTAAAGATCCAGTCTGGAATTACAGAGATATCATTATGATAGAGATGTACTTAGCAAGTTGGTCTAATGGGATACATTGTCTATCCCTATGTTCCAAATTTAGCATACTGTTACAAAAATTGTTCATATGATTATTGAGGTATATGTATTTAGATAAAACAGGTGCCATCCAAGAGAAAAGGGACAACTAAGGAATAATTGCCATGGATATCAGTAGAAGACCTTGCTCTTTTGGCCTAGAATTTGTCAAATATCCAGAATTTCTAATTTAGCAAATAAGTTTAGAAGCACGATTGACTTGGCATCTAAGTAAGCTCACTATGTGCATGAGGTTGAATGTTCACTGGCTGTACCCAAACATGATCTAAGGGACATTGCACTGCCTTCCTTTTCCACTGGTACATTGCAAAACTTGAAAGCAATGTTCTGTTACTAGCATTATATTTAAATGTTGTTCATTTGATTTGGATTCCTCAATAAATAATCACATAAGCTAAGTGCAGCCCTGCCATAGATGACAAGAGGTGAATTTGTTTGGATTCATGTCAATTTGTTCCAGACAATTAACTACCAAATATAAAACCTAGAGGTCTAATTTCAGAAGCAATCAGCATTGTATTGACATTAGCAGTTATATTCAGCAAATACAATTCCCCATTGCATTATTGATGTCATAAAAAAAGGATTTATGTATGATATCTTTCTCAATAGACTTGTGCCTTGCATTATGTTTTATAGCTTATCACAATGGGTGGGTGAACTAATCATGTCACCACCACTAGTCTAAATAGCCAATGTTTGTAATGAATTCATTTGATTTTATTTAAATGAATTTACAGAGTGGAAGCATAGGTAAGCATGTACTACTGATATCCGTGGCAGTAAGATAGGTAAGGCCATACCAAAGCTTCAAGGAACCTTCTCTAAAATGTACTGATATGATCATGTGACTTGCCAAAAGTCCAACCAAATTTGCAACATCATTCTCATCAGTCTATTTTTTATCCTAAGTCATGCATTGTTTCACAGTCGATGCATAAATATATTACGTTCACCTCATATTTGCAACGCACATAATTTAGGCCATAAAGACACTGATCTGGAATGCAAATTAGTTTTTTGTGGATTGGTATGCAATAAGCTCCAAACCATTAAAACTGATAAATTGGAAAAGAAAACACATGATGTTTGAGTGGCATGACACAGCAACATAAGCTTTTTGAATCCATTTGCCTGCTTTTGTTGACAAGGGATGCATACAGGCAGCTGTAGTTGGTGGTAATGGCTATGAGGAATCTCGAGAAGCACATAGATCAGTAAAATGTAGACATTGCATAGCACTTGATTGATTAGCATGGTAAAATGAACAGTCGCTATTCTCTGAATTCTTGGCAATTCACATGCCATTTAAGCTTACTACCACTATGTAGGGTAGTTGGTTATTGCCGAATCACAAAACTCTTCACCATGTGCACATTTAGACTCTCAGATTGTATGTTCAACATTGCATCACTCACACTGCAGGTAAATTCTTCTACCTACGCCGAGTAAATAAAGTGTTGTTCATGAATTCAAAAAGACACACATAAATTATGTTTCCTCCATTACAACTCTTACCCTCCCTAAAAAAAATTAAGAACTAAACAAAGCAAAGGCATCGTAGATTTTTATTTTCCCATTACACCTTTTCAGCTGGGATACTGCTTCAAGGATTATAGAATTATTAGATCCTTTTCAGTGAAGCCATTTATTCAATAAGGAAAAAAAACTCTTTGAAAACAATGAAAAGAGCATGGCAGTGATTGAGTTCAGGAGCTGCTTTTCTTGTGTAAAGGGTAGACTTACTGGAACTGCACAGCAGTCATCTAGAGCCCCATGTGGCATGAGAAAATAGAACATATTCAGTTATCCATATTGACTTTTCAGATTTCAAAGATAAAACACATGATAAAGTGAACACAGTTAAACAACAACATGATTCAAGATTATTTTTCATGAAATATTTCTTTGATTTTTTTTATCATTGTGCTACTCACCAATTACTGAATGATAACAACATCATTTTATAACCCAGGCAGTGGAGGATTACATATGTTTTTTGCTTCATCATTATTATATGTTTTATTAGGCAATTATTTACCATAGTAAACAAAAAAAGGATTATAGATTCAATCTTAAATAGGTTTATTCACATGTTTTAAGCACAGCATGTCGATAAATTGCAAAAAGCACTTATAAGATTTCAAATGTATTCATTATACATATATATACCTATTATATAGAATGTAAACAGGCAATTTATTTCATGTGATAGAAACATGTACATGTTGGATCCTTGGAAGGACAAATTATTTAAAATGTTATCTTTATTAATAGTAAATATTACATTTACATTCATTATTGAATAATTATCCTTAGACAATGGGTACGCTGTTTTAGTTCAACTTTAAATGTCTCTATTAAGATATCTTCCATGCTGTAAATATATCTAGTTATCATTTTTTTTAAATAAAATGTATTGTATTCTTAAGTGCAACATTATAACTTGTTATTTGAAAAAGCTGATGAATGGAAGAAGATTTATTACTTAAACCCTGTAATATGCTATCTTAATGGAATGACATTAACAAAGGAAATAATTGAATCACAATATGCACTAGTCTCAGTAAAAAGGTAGGCTTAAAAACCATTTGTTTCAGATATGCTAAGTCCATCCCACCCTTTCCCTAAGGCCATTAATTCAAGATAGAGATAATGTTTAATTGGCATGCAGTTTTCACTGATATTATTATTAAATTAGATTCTCAAGCTTAAATCAGTATATTGTGCTTCCTTTTATATGTTTCAGTAATACTCAATAATAATGGTTATGTAATTCATACACATCCAATCATTATACATACTATTCACAGCCTTTGTTGTTAAGCAGGTGGCATTGTTGAAAATTCATACAATGTTAAAAATTGTTATTCAAAACAATAAGTTTAAAAATCAAGCATATTATTTTGCATTATGTATATGTCAAAAGCCTCACTCCCAATGTATTCCCTAAAATAATATGTGATAGATATATAAACACGGCAGTTCAGAACCATGGACAGCAACATTTCATAATATATTACTGCCAACAGCTGAAAGGATTGAACTGGTTCAAGGTCCCATAAATAGGGTCATAACAGAAATAGTACTCCAAATGCTCTTCATAATATCAGCAACACAGAAAGGGAACAGTGTCATCCTCACACCATCTTGCTACATGAGCTGTCTAGTTAAGTTCCATTTTTACCATGACATATGTGGATGATAATCATAAGTAACATATGTTTGTGCATAGGGGGATTCAGTATGTATCACTCCATGTTCTGATTTCTTTTTTTTAAACATTGAAACTTAACTACTGTTAAGAGTTAAGGGATATAGACTGCAATTTGCAAGTTAAAAGTAAATTAAAGGGAAACTATAATGTTACGAAAGCTGAGCTGTTTTCCTAGCATTGTAGTGATCTACACGCCCTAATGGCGCTGGAAAGTTTAAAAAGCTCAATGCTTTCCTATTGGCTTTTAGATGACACTGTCCAGCATCAGTTAGTATACCAAAAGTCACCTAACCATCTGGAAGTGCCTCTAGTGCAGCCACTAGAGGTGGAGTTAACCCTGCAAGGTAATTATTACAGTTTATAAATAACTGCAATAATTATAATTGCAGGGCTTGGGGGACTGGGACAGTGCACCAACATCACTTCAATGAGCTGAAGTGATCTGGGATCCTGTAGTGTCACTTTAAGTTAAAAAATGTTTTAAATTAATTTGTATTTACTTTGTTTATACATACACAGATAGTAAGACTATATATAGTGCTAAAATTACTATAAAATAGATTTAGTTAATGAATTGTCACAATTAGTGCTTTTTACTTCACCGTTCACCCCTTCTGTGCATATGTCTTTAAATTAAAATTCCACTGTTCTGTTTGTCTTAGAAACCCTGCTGGCAAGTAAAAAGTGCTGACAGATAACGGGGAACAGCAACACACACAGATTCTAAAAGGTGCCAATTATGATCACTTTGTTTACTTAAATTCACATCCACACTGGAGCTATTTTGAAGAAATAATTAAAGGTTTATTACAGCCCACAAGAAAGACTAAGCTATTTATTAAGCCTCACAACATCTAGAAATAACCTTTTCTTTTCCATATTTATTTTACTGTCAGATTACAAGATACCCGTGAAATAATTTTACAAGGGGTGGGAGTAATCAGGAAAATGGGGATCTCTTCTGCATAACTGAAGCCTCTCCAGTCCCTATGATTTCTGTAAAGACCAAAATCTAAACAGGGAACATAGCACATTTCATATATTTAAAAGAATGTCTTAACATCAAATCACTACACCTTAACATACCTTAGAGATAGTGATGTCCCGAACGGTTCGCCGAACGGTTCGCGAACGGTTCGCCACGGACTCATCATTGAGTAAACTTTGACCCTGTACCTCACAGTCAGCAGACACATTCCAGCCAATCAGGAGGGTCTGGGAGGGAGGGTCTGCTGCTGATTGGCTGGAATGTGTCTGCTGACTGTGAGGTACAGGGTCAAAGTTTACTCAATGATGAGTCCGTGGCGAACCTTTCGTGGCGAACCGTTCGCGAACCGTTCGGCGAACCGTTCGGGACATCACTACTTAGAGATTTTGAGTTGTTTACTAAATTGCAACATAATTACAAACACAATTAAATGAGCTAGCTATTTAGTGCAAATGTGTGTGTATGCATATTTGTGTGTATGTGTGCGTGTGTGTGTGCGCGTGCATGTGTGTGCGAGTGTGTGACTATGCCACTTACTAGCATTTTTTTCTCAGGAACTATCTCAATGTGCATACTTAATTTTTCCTAGTGGATTCTGCATCACAAACAGATATTATAGGGTGGATTCTTTATAGATTGACATTCTTGACATTCAATACATTCAATTTCCGTTCTAAAGACAAATTGTATATCGGGCTGTGAATGTCATTATAGCTTAGGAAAAAAAAACTCAGATTATGTTCTTTTAAAGCACATGAGCCTGCAGACATACTGCTTCGTTTACAGCTGCTAGTTCCATTGATTTATCAAGTACAACTGGTCTGTGATCTAGTTCACATAGCTTCATCGCATATTGTTGAATTATACTGCAAGTCACAGTTGTATTGCCTGCTGAATGCTTGTGACATTTTGAGTAGCTACCTGCAGAGCACCTTTTACATTTGAGTATCTATTCAAGTCTAGCAGAACATGTTATTTAATGTTAGCAAGAAAAAACTCTAGAGCGATTCTAGGGTAAATTGCTAAATATGGAACAATCTCCACCTATATGCAATTACCATGTGAATATTCCTGCTTGTAGCTCCAAGAAATGCTCAATATTTATGAATTACGTTTAAATCAAAATCATAGCATTCTTTATTCCATTTCTGCTTCTCATATATTACCCTATCTTGTGGTGCTTGAAATGACGGCATTAGATAGTATTTAAGATATATATTTTATTGGTAACCTAGAAAGTCAAAGGCACATTTCATTTCTAGAAAATATGTTCCTCGTACAGATCTATCTGTACAACTCAGAAAGAATAAGTATTAATATAATTTATTTATATATGGATTATAATTACTGAAGATTATATTGCGTACATTAAAATATAAGAAATTAAATATCTTTTCCCCCATGCTTGTCATATAACAGATTAGTGCACGTGAGCACTACTGCACAAAACATTTCAATTAACCCTTTGCGTTAGAGTGATGGGAAAAGTATTACAAAGTTCTAGCAGTGAAAGGGTTAAAGCTTTGAATTTATGCCATAAACAAATGATATTCATGTTTATTAATTTTAGGTAGATGGAAAAACACAAGATCTCCTGGGGATCATTATTATGTTAAGTATTTATTTTTTTACTATTGATTTAAAAAAACACCTATATAGAACCCTGTCTATAAATAGTATAGTTTTGTTAAGGTAAAGTTTGACGAGAATTTTAACAGTAAATCAGTCCCACAGCAAGGTTTCAGTTAACATTTAAAATAAATGTCAACATTAAATGTAACCTCTAATTTTTCTCAATAGCTATTTTGTAAAATGATAATGTTCCTATCATAGAGCTTTGAGTGGCAGGTAAGACTAGCTCACCATGTGTATAATTTATCCCAAAGAAGAGGGTATATTTGGGTGTCATGTGATCACTAGCAGGACAGCAGGGTATTGTGTCATGTTTTGGCCTGGCTATGCAATGTTTTGACATACGATGTTTCTCAAAAAGTGGTAATTGTCACCTTTCATTTAGTGTTGTGAAGTGTTTTTAATACTGAAAGCCATCGATGATGCACTTAAAAGGTCTGATCTTTAGATGTTCATGTTTAAACTCTGTATACAGTAGTTGAAAATTGTGTCACTGTTTTGAAAAGTATTCAATGCTCATTGCTTATTTCTTTCTTCAAATAAATGAGACTATGACAGATTTTAATGTTTCTCTCTTGTCGGGAGACTCAATACTGTACTGGAGACTGCATTGTTGCTGTTGAACATTGTCTGCTTTTTGTTCCAAAAAGAATGCTATCTATTTGCTTTCAAGAAAGCTTTAAATGGTGTAACTAAAAGGCCTCTATGTGTTTGTATTTAATTGTGGTTACACGCTATCATGGTTCCTGTTGGCAAGTCCTTTTTGAATTCCTTTATGAATATGTAGTAATCTCCTGTCAATCAACCAGTCAATCAGTTGGTTATGGTGGAAATGGATTGTAGAAATAATATGACTTTAGATGGGAGCTAAGCATTCTGAAAACAAAAGACACAGGATGGTCCATATAAAGTGTTGCAAACCTTGCTGGCTATATAGATAATGAATGTCAATATAAGTAACTTAAAAACTTTTTTTTAGAAAATGTCATGGCTTGTTATTTCAAGTGTAACACATTCCAAACTTTGTTTTAATCTTGCCTAAAATTTATGAGCTTTTCATCAAAAATTTGCTTTCTTTTATATTTGTCAGAATTGTTCTTGAAATCCTTGCTAACATGGATCACTATGCCACTGTGTCATTTTCTTTAGAAAATGTTCTTTACTATAGTTTAGGTTTTACCTTTTCACTTTATAAGTAGAACTATGTATATGTGAACTTTTGTTGTAATAATTGGTCTCTGAACTTGTAGTTTTTCAGTTTAATGGGACTATGTATAGAAATATTAGATAAGCTAGTTCTGGCTTCCTGCCTTGACTAATGTTGATCTAATACAAGATGCCTATATCTGATAGCGATATAAATGCATTCATTATGACCTGGAATTTAATGAGTAAATAGCAACTTGTGGCCACTATCCAACCAACTTGCAAAATTTAAGGCAAAATAGCAGATCTTGAAAAAAATCTCCATTTCAGTTGACATTGCCCAATTGGTCAATTTAAGATGAAATCTTGCAAGTCCCTCAGCACCAATTGTTATTTACTGCTTAAACCTAATTGATCATTTGAATATTTGTACAGTTTTGGATTTGCGAATGCATATTGATGTCATTCAACTCTGTCATTTTGTTACCTATTTTGTTTTTCTTGAAAAATAAACAACTGAAACTAATTACCATTGGAAAATATTGAGTGAGAAAGCTCAGTAGTGATAAATCTATCAAAAAATAATATCACATCTAACATGAAAAAGATAGTCATTGAAAGTCCTGCTTAAAAATCTGATCGGAATGCAATTCCAGGTTTCACAAGTAATCTTCAATGGTACTTTACAAGGTTTATCAATAGCTTCTAGTGTAGATTCTAGTAGATGCTAGAATAAAAAAGAGTCCGCTTTGAGATATACCAGAATGTAATTGAAATGTCTAATTTGTAATGTGTACATTAACATAACTAGCTTGCTGTTTTATGAAAAGGTCTGAAAGTTTGGAGTTCATCTAAACAACAATGAACAATGTGCTTAAATATGAAAAAATAATTTGTTTTATAGCACCACCAAAGCCATCACTGTACACAACTCTTTCCTCTTTAACTCCCTCTGCAAAATATTACTCCTGTGTGTTCTTTAATCAGCCCAAAGGTTCTCTAGCTCCACCTTAAGGACATAGCTTACTGCTGCATTCAAATGGTGTACACTTTCCTTGACTTTTGTTAAAAGAAAAGACTTTTTTACCTATATATAAATATATATATAAAACAAACACCTGACATTACTGCTGTAAATACTCATTTACAATATGTCTCTGTTGTCTTCTTCATGCTATCATACTCTTCAGTGTTATGTTAATTGCCCCATCTACTGATTGATGAAAGTGTAATTAAATATGTATCCTGACATAGTTTATGTAGGTCTCTTCTCAAAATAAAGTACAAAACAAAATGTGTGGCTTTTCTTTATCTTTTATTATTGTCATTTGTTCATGTGTTACTTTCTCAAAAGAGACTGTCACCTGTAACAGATTTTAATTAAGATTAAAATATGTGTATTTTATTGCAGTAAAAGCTGTCAAACTTGGAAGATTTTACTTTTTAGATTTTATTGATATTAAATTGTGTTCCATATATAAATATTTTATTGTGAAATGAAAGCCCTATTTCTCTTGAACAAAATGTTATATAATAAGTTTGAGTACACTTAATATAAAAAAAGGTAAATTATGGTTGAACAGACATACAGTGCAAATTCTAGGTTTTGTTTTGGTTCAGAACTTGGACAATTGCCTTCGTCCTTAACGTGTTAAGGGTATTAGAGAAAATATAAGTCTGCAGTCTTTGTCACGTATAGGTAAATTAAACCCTTACAAAAATGACCTGACACTGACTCTTGATTTTAACTGCATTTTAAGGTCAATGTATCATACACAGCTACATTCCGAGGGTCAGTCAATCCCAACTATACATCTTATTCACAATGCGATAGCTCGGAAATTAGAAATCAAGTATAATATTTACTGTGCCTCTCTATGTCAGGATTAAAACAATGCAAGGTCAACTTAGTCTTACAAGAATTACAAGATTTCCAAGAACATAAATGAGTACTATGCACATATATTAATAGTTTTAATACACAAAGACATTCTTGAAAACTAGGGAAAGCTATATATCTATCCGATGTCTAATCAACATATCTGTCTGTCTGCCTTTCTGTCTATCAAATGGTGCTGGCGCTTCCATTGGGGCAACCATGCACTGGACTAGGGTGCTCGATTTGGGGGCTCACCCACAAAGGACCCCCATGAGAATATACTGGCCTTGTTTAGTCACAGAGAACAAACCCTGCCTCTTCCAGTGACAGCACTGCCAGTGCCCTCCACTCACTGCTCCTGCCCTTCTTGTGGTAATTCTGCTCTTTGAAATACTTTCAAGAGATGATTTGTTACGATTGTAAGCTTACCTTCCACCCACAATACCTTAACTTCACCTCTCCCACTACTAACTCCACCTTGCCCAGCCCCAAACATTTTAGCTCTGCCTCTCCAGATTGACTCTGCCCCCTCCTCCCAAGACACTAACTCCAGACAGAAAGTCTTTGGAGAGGAGGGCAGTGTAAGGTCAGATCTTCCATGTGTTGCTCCCCCTGTCCTGTTCCAGGTCTACATGTGGGAGGGACCATAGACAGACTGACAGCAGAGGAGGTAACACACTGATGGAATGGACTGCTTCCAGTGCATTCAGCCCCCACCTATGTGTTTGATAAGGAAATGCAGCTTGCTGTGTGTATTAGACAGTGTGTGTCAAATTAGACAGTAATCTGTGCTGTGTGTGAGTGTCAAAGAATGTATAGTTTTTGTGTTTATGGGTTAGTGTGTGTCAGTGTGCAATGTGCTTGTGTATAGGTCAGTGTGCACTGTATTTGTGTATGGGGTCAGTGAATGTGTGTCAATGTGAAGTATGTTTGTGTATGGGTTTGTGTGTGTCAAAGTGCAGTGTGCTTGTATAATGGTCAGTGTTAGTGAGTGTCAGTGTGCAGTGATTTTTGTATGCGTCAGTGTGTCAGTGTGTATGGGTCACTGTGTCAGTATTTGTGTGTATCAGTGTATAACAACCACATAATCACAACCACATGCAACCAATACACACATCACATACAGCCAGCCCACACATATAACATACAGCCAGCATACACCACACACACATCACATACAGAAAGCACACACCACATACAGCCAGCACACATCATGCACAAATATCACATTTACCCAGCACAGACATCATATACAGCCCTTACACACAACATACATGACATGCAGCTAGCACACACACCACACATGACAAACAGCCAGCATGCACTACACACATGACAAACAGCCAGCACACACTACACACTAACATGACAAACAATCAGCACTCACCGCACACAGAAGACACACAGCAAGCACACACTGCAGACACTATGAAAAAGGGGGAGACTATGGCAGGGCAGAGGGTAAAACACTCTAGGTAATTCACAAGGCTCTGAATTTTTGCAAAAAAAAAATCAAAATAGCAAAACTGAGGCATAAATAGCCATATTGTCACTGTAGCAGAGATAGAAAATGTATCCACATTAGCTATTGATGCTTCCATTTTTCTTTTCATAGTTTAGGGTCTCTACGTCAAATTTAACAAACAAAACAGATTCAGAAAATAAATTGAAATATTATTACAATTGCTTAATTAAATCAAAAGAGAACAAAACAGTTTTAATTATTATCTAAGTGTACCTGTTTAAACACAAGTATACATTTTAAGCACACTCACTGTATACTGGTACACTTCTGTTACATGATAGGTATTGCTGTTATAACTTTACGGAGTATCTTACATTATATGTGGTACATAATTATAGATTATGCTAACGTAGTGTAGCTATAATCTTAATTTTAGTAATGACAGGAGGCAAATATTTTGCATTAGTCTCTTTACTGTAAAATCAGGGAAGCACAGATCATAACAGAAACAACCAATCAGAAAAACGTATCCAACTCTATAAAAGGCCCTGCTCGTCTGATCACTTCCTCTTTCTTTGTAGTGAAGACTAAACACAGTCTACCACAAATCCATGAATTGAAATATAATTTTACAACTGCTTAATTAACTCAAAAGAGAACAAAACAGTTTTAAGAATAACAGAACAGCAAACAACATCCAGAAAATGAAAAAAGATGACCGGCAACATACTGGAAACAGATCCAATCCCTTGGAGAAGTAAATCACACTGAAAGGAAACAAAAAGAAGTGAAAGGCATCTGAAGTGACAAGATGTCCATAGTGATGTCCCGAATGGTTCACCACGAACGGTTTGCCGCGGACTCATCATTGAGTAAACATTGACCCTGTACCTCACAGTCAGCAGACACATTCCAGCCAATCAGCAGCAGACCCTCCCTCCCAGACCCTCCCACCTCCTGGACAGCTCACTAAGAATGCAGCTTCACAATTAATGTAAAATGGATGCTGTCCAGTAGGTGGGAGGGTCTGGGAGGGAGGGTCTGCTGCTGATTGGCTGGAATGTGTCTGCTGACTGTGAGGTACAGGGTCAAAGTTTACTCAATGATGAGTCCGCGCAAACCGTTCGTGACGAACCGTTCGGGACATCACTAGATGTCCACAATAATAAGCACATGGGTGCTTGGGATTTTCATGGAAGTCATAATTTTTGACCGACCATGCACATGGTCCTATGCCCAAAACAGTTTCATGAAATCAGTGCTAACGGTCGGTCAAGTTCGGTAGTTTAAAAACTAATAACTACCAAACATAGTTCTACCGAATCAGTTATATTGTCTTTTACAGGTTTCCCTGCAGGGCCCATACTCTGTGGGCAGGAGGCTGGCAAGCAGGCTTCTCCAGGAGCTCGTGGCAAACTCATGTGGGAAAGGGAGTTTGTCACAGGGCAGCTACTTCATGAGTGCTTTTTCCACCGAGGCCGCAACAATGGCATTGATTAGTGTCTAGAGGTCTTGTATTGGTGGGGGTGTGTCACTCATATTGAGTAAGCAGTCCTGTTTGGGAACAGTGACAGTAAGTGGATTTGCGCCACTTGCATGAAATACACCCCACGAGGTGCAAGGCTCCTGGTACAACTTGGGCTCACCCAGAAATGTGTAATACTGGGTGTCCCTAGGTGACAATCCAGAGACATTGACTCCAATATGAGAGGGGCTCTGAAATGTGGAAGTCTCAAATACATATAGGGGGGGTTACCCCTGATAATTCTGGTGTGGGAGGTGATACCACTGAGGGTTTTACCCTCTTTAGAGTTGCCGGTTAAAGTGTAATAAAAAAAAGGTGGTTTGCCCCAGTTGTACGTCAGAGTTGTACCTCCGTGGTCAACAAGTCATGTAAATGTTGGCAGTGTTGTTGAATTGGGCTATATGCGGGCCCCTGTGACTGGGTACCAGCCGTCATGTTTTGTGGCCCGGCCCACGCAGCAAAACACCAGGGCCGCCGTTCAAAGGGTCCATGGATCAGTTTCGCACTGGGGTCCCATGGATTGTGTGTATGCCACTGACTATATGGGTACCATGATAAGGGGGCTCACCCCTGCCATGTCTGTCTGAGAAGAATCCAGTCCATTATATAACTGGGGGCCCATCCCAGGTGGTGTGCCATGTACAACAGAGGACATCCACAAATGCCAACTGTTATATAAACAATCTTGCACTTTAACATATGTTTGTATCCTCAGTAACTGTAATCCTAGGGCATTGCATCAGTGTAAGCAGCACTGTACAGAGTGAATCCTGCAGAGCAGTTACCTGTAAGGTGAGAGGGAACACTTCAGGCTTACCTGTATGAGAGGTGTGACAGGTAAGTATCCCAGCATCCAGATCGCTGTAAAACTCAGTCTGGAATGAAAAGAAGATGGCCGCCGTGAATTTCACAGTACTCGTGAGATCCAAGATGGCCGCCGCGCAGCGCAACGCTCGGCAATGCCTGCAGCTGCCGGCCTGCCTCGGACATTGAAAAATCAGTGCCTGGCAACCCCACCACCCTCCAAAACCCCCCAGATACCGGGTGACCAAAACAAAAGTGAGGATGCGATTGCGGCACTCGCAGGCCACATCGCGCTACAGAGTGAGCTGGAAACCGGCAAAACACACAATCCTGAGGTAGGAGACAGTCCACAGAAGGGGGAGTGTAAAGAAAAGCAAGAGATAGGTAGTAGAGAGGGTGGGGAACAGAGCACAATAATAGTATATCGCAATCCTAATGAATCTCAAACATTAAAATATACTAAAAGACATGTAACAAGTACAGTGGGACCTCGGTTTACAAATGTGTCGGTTAACATAATTTTTGGTTTACAAATGAAAATCCATTGAAAACAATGCCTCGGTTTACAAATTTGTTTCGCTATACAAAGCAAGTTTCCCCAGGATGCAT